TGGCGGACGGGGCGACGTGCGTCTGGTGCAGGTCAGGGGCGTGGGCGGCATTCGCGCCCCGGGAAACACCGAGTGCCTACGTGAACGTTTTCGCCTGACGCATGATAGCGGGGTAGATGTGGAGAGACCGTATACCACGACACGTGGTCTTCCAAATTGTCAAGCGCGACTCTGCGTCTTACCGTCTTACTCTCTTGATTCAGGGATCCAATAGGGATTTCAGAGTCGAAACTCCTCGGCAAGACACGTTCTAAAATATGTCTTATCAAGAAACCCAGTCGGGATATCAAATCCGCGAGTGCCCCACCAAGACAAAATCTCTGCGGACTGCCACCTCAGCATCCCAATCGTCTCCTCGGCGGGCACTTCAAGATTCTGGCGGATTTTCTAGTCAGTACTCCACAAGACACGATGAAAAATGTGTCTTGTGGAAGGTACTTGAGGTATCTTACCCTAGCAAATTCCCTACTCGGATGGCGCACAAGACACAGGACAGGAAGACGCATGTTCGGAAAGTTCATAGGATCCCGAATGATCGTGGCGGATCTAGATCGTCCATCCGATCTCAGGGACTTTCCAAAATAATGCGTCTTACTGTCTTAATGTCTTGATAAAGGGATAGACTACGGAATTTGGACTCAAGAATCTTTCCTCGAGACACATCAGAAATAGTCAACCAAACGGCCCCGACTGGACCAGTAGGGCGACACGCGACTCGAAAAGACTGGGTTTTGTCGGGCCAAGTAGAAACAGAAGGCAGCCGAAAGGCTCTCGTAGACAGCGCATTTTGAGTACTAGCAAGAGCTCCGCCAACGGGACAAACTGGAGAAAAGCGATACTGTACGGGCGCGCCGTGCGATTTATGAAGAAGGCATGGAACGGAGCACTCGACAACATTCTGTGTAGAAGTAAGAGGTCGTTCTGACCAGCTAGAAGGCATGGCAACAACCTAGGGGTATGTCGTAGGGTAATGTGAAGATGAGTGCTCTCGAAATATGTCACCGTGTACCTAGCTCAATCGACCTTTCATTACTAAAATACCAAAGTTGTTATGTCGTATCGGTTTCTGCGTCAGGGTCCTGTCTCTGGACATCTTGGTCGCATTTCCAAATCCACACACAAACAAATGCAGCACGTTCACCGCGGTCACAGCATATCTCCCGTTATGCCGACCGGACCCCTTCTGCCAGACTTGACCCCGAAAGGACTCATATCAAGATTTACGAAACCTTTGATGACGAACTTTGATCATAACCGCACCTGCTTCCAGCCTGCGCTGGTCGCAAGAAGAAATCACGAGGCGGTCGACCAGATTCATGGCACAGGGAGGGCATCGTCCACAGAGTCTATTCTGTGGCATGCAGGCGAGCAGGACACGCATGTACATTCAAGGATGCAACCGTCAGGTTGGAATCGGTTAGATGTACTGCCGACAGCACATATTTAGCATGCTCAGTACCACGTGTGCCACAGATTTGCATGAGAGAAGCTGTTTAACGACATAATCTGGTTGGTGGACACAAGGACGCCTGATTGGCAACCACTGGCACTTGCTAATGTCCTAGCCAGTGAGAAACATTTCGTGATCATCTAAGAGCGATCACTCTTCACGAGGCGATCTTCGTAACCGCTGAGAAGAAGATCGGCCACTATGATACTGCACCGTAGTCCTTCGCTCAGCTCTTGACCAGACCGAAACCCGGCCTCTCTCACAGAGTTTACCCTAGAAGCGGTCAAGCATACTGTAACGCACTTCAGAACCCACGCATCGAACTCGATATCGACATATGGTATGGTGTGCAGCTCAGCCGCCCTACATAGGAATCCCTCAAACGGCTCCGCGAAGGACTCGAAGGTCTCCAGAAGGTGCACGTAGGCGACCGACGCTCGTTTCCAGTCCGCCGCGTTCTCGAGCTGAACTGGAAGATTCACGGTCCACTCCATCTGCATCGACGGAGGCTTGGAGGCAACGACCGTCGCATCACTGGAGGCGTTCTGGACCCGCTGAGCAAGTGCCATCAGGCCCAGCTTGAACGTCTTCAGGTACTCAATGACGTCCGGAATGTCATAGGACGCCAGAACTGGTTCGTTTCGAGGCCAGACGCCCTCGCTCCGAGTCCCCATGTCGATCCAACCGACGCCTGCAGCAAGATATTTCATCAACATATTTGAAGTGCAATCATCCAGCTTAAACCTAACGGTCCTTTGACTTGGTGATTGACCTTCCCACTTTCTGGTAGTAAAAGTCGATTGAATGGCATGGGAGCATGCGTAGCTTACTCTGGTGAAAGGGGCAGCCTTCGTGTTGCATACAACCCAGAACAGTTTGCCCGACCCTGCACCATTCCGGCAATCTCAGAATGATATGGGAGATACTCGGGAAGACTTTGTCTGCTGTGCGGCACACAAAGACAATAAAGCACCTCACCCAGATGTACCAATGCGTAGTCACCCGCTTCGCCCTCCTTATCCAAAATTCTTTGTTTTTTCTCACTTGCTGGCGTCTATTCTTAGCCTCCTCCCGCAGAGCGCCTCCTTCCCAAACCTGATTCAACGCGACCGTGACTGCTGCAAAACGTTTTTTCTAGTCTTCACTCGTGTTGCAAGAGCTCGGTATAAAATGGTCAGCAAGACTACAGTCCGGGAGACTGTTTTCAGTTCGCGAATCGTTTGGCGACCGTTCGCCTTCCCAAATCCTCTTTTTGGGTCAGACCGTCCGATGGTTTACAGCGATTCCGAGTTTGTACGGTTCTGAGAGACCGAGTGTACTCAGGATTTTAGTTTGAATCTAATGTACGGACGGTTACCGTGTTTGAAAGTCAACGCTACAACCATGGACGAGTTCTACCGTATCTCGCCCTAGTTTCCTTTGAGGAGCTCTGCTCACCACATAATCTAACGGTGCATTAACGCCACGTCAACCCCATGGATGTCGTGGCGACTGTATATGCAATATCGGAGATGCAAGTGCTACAATCTAAACTCCCGTGTCAGGTTGTTCCAACTTCCGTACGGTGGTGCCAATGGGCATTGGAAAGTCGGTTGAACTCAGCCAATCACAGTAGCCTGTAGGTACGCGGAAAATCGTACCGTGAAAACCGTTGGTCTACAGTTACCTTTCCGTAGTTCGCACGCTTAAACAGTTTGCACGGAGCACAATGCAAAGATTCTGATTCGAGACCAAGGACCAAGATTCACTAAGGCCAAAGCCCGGGGGACGCCAAAGCCCGGGGGACGGGTGAGTTACACTGGGGGTAATGGTAAGCATGGGTAAGGACCGCTTAGGTTCGTTCCTGGGGTCTTAGTATCCCCGGTTCCTAGTTTCGTATTGAAACCAGAATCTAGACCAACACCGGTACGTAAGTTGCACGGCAATTTGACGCAAGTGAAAAGTCAAACTGAGTAGCTCTGGAGTCTGGATCCGGACAAACGGATTTTGCTGCTCATTTTCTCTGGAGAGGACCCCCATTCTTCATTCGTGCTGGGAAGGTTGTGATAAGTGAAGAGTCTTCGAGTCTTCGAGTCTTCGAGTCTTCGAGTGTGCCTGTCTCGTGCAACATATCTACCTACGGTAGGAAGAGCAGCATCACGAGTGGCTCGGAGGTCAAGTTGTGTAGCAGAATCGTGAGGGGTGCAGCATCCAACCAACATAGCGCTCTTAGCCTCGTGTACAGGCATTCGTAGTAATGTCAACAATGAAGGAAGCCTTAAAGCAGGTGGCTCTTGAAGTTGTCAAGGGTGCGGCCAATGAAGGCGGGACGCAAGCAGTCAATGCTGCTATTGGGCAGCCTTTGCAACTGGTGGGAGCAGCGGCGGAGGCTGGCTGTCAGTTAACCCCCTTGGCGCTCTTAAACATGGGCCTTGGGGTTGCCAATCTTGCCGTAGGGGCAACTGGCCTCGGAGTGGGCATCTTCAATGCTTACCAGGTCCTCAAAATAAAGAAGGGCCTGGGGGTGTTGCAGCTCCAGACGGCAAGCATTGGGGTTAAGATGCAAGCTGAGCTGGGAAACGTTGCGGCCCAGGTCCAGAGTGTCGGGGCTGACGTGAGCAGGCTTTCTATGCAGCTTGAGGGCCTTGTCATTGCTGAGGGCGCGCAAACCAGGATTGCGATAAGTGAGATGAAGCATCATCTAGATCTGCGGTTGGATCGAGTTGACCAGCTTTTGGTGTGGGTCGGAAAGTCGGTCGCTGAGAAGCACGACGCACTCTCGCAGCAGATTGCAGAGCTGCAAGAGGACATTCATGCTCTACACAGACTCGCCGAAGAAGATGAGCTCCAGTGCAGCATGCTCCGGGTCGCTACTACATACCGTGACGTGCTGTTTCAGCTGCCGTCTGGGGAAGGGAGTGCTCACGAGTGCCAGGAGCTTCAACGAGTTGCCAAGGACCTGGCGGTCTTGGCATTGTCCAGATTGAATCGCTATAAGCCGGGAGACCTCTGTCGTGGCCCCTTGATGGTGGCCCGCGTGTATGCTCTTGTGACTGAGGTCGATGCTCGGATTCTTGGGGAGATGCAGACGAAGTCCGCCAATTTTGCAGATGGCCTGGTACCTGTGCAGAGTTCCCAGCGACGCCTCTGTGTGCAGAAGCTGGCCGATCTAGCGCGGGAACTGGAAAAGGAGGCTCACGCGCTTCTTCAGTCCCAGGCATGCTCCCCTTACGCCCTTGCAGTGGACGTTGCTCCCGTCTTGTCGCGGTATGCCCTCCTGCACCGAAGTATTGAGGCCAAGCAAGGGTCAGGGGGGCCCATTGTCCTCGAGCTTCAGGAAGCGAGTCTCATTGCTGGGGAGCCACAGGTTGCTGTGCGCTGGGACGACGGCCTTGATAGCATGCGGGTACTGTGTTCCGCTTTAGCAAGCGGCGAAAGCGGTGATGGCTCTGAGTGGCTCGAGGTGCGGACGGTGGCGGATGCCATGTGGTTTGCGGAGTTGTTGGGGAGGCGCGTTGAGGAATGCCTGTTTGCCGATGTGCACCGCATCAGGAGGCGGGTGTTGTTGGACGCTCTTGGGGTTCCCGAGACGCTCGGGGATGGCAGCAAGCTGGATGGGACGGGTTTGAATGCACTGAAAGCATTTTCGGTGCTGCGACTGAGGAAAACAACAGAAGCTGCAGTAAATGCCGCCTTTGGCAGCTTGGAGACGCCCCTTGTGATGCCGGCATGGACCGAGGTGAGTTTGAACGTCTTGGAGGCAGCAATGTGTGACAAATATAGGTTGAAGCCTGACATAAGTGAACCATGCAGATTAGCACGCAATGCATTAGTGACACTTCAGAACAGAAGGGTCGAGCTCGTGTTTGGATTATTCCGTAAGCTTCAGAGAATGATGGACAGGCTTGGGATGGACTATAGAATGCACGCTCAGGTGGCTCGGATTGAGGGTCCGTTATGACAGAATCCCCTTCTTGGGGGAATCATCAACCTGGACTATGAAAGTACAGTAATAATGCACGACTGGAGCAGTGACAACCGGGTCCTCTCCCTGTCGTCTCTTTGTCAGAACTTGTCTTGTGCATTCTAGCGTCTCATTCTTTGGCGTCTCCGTTGGTCATCATGGCCATGTGTCTCTGTTTACGCATGTCATTTGTGCAATCATTCTTGTTGCTGCCAAGGACGGTGCTCCCGGTCTGCTTGCTCTGGTTCCATACTTCCAAGAGATACGTACTAGCTGCATTGCGGCCTAGAATTTGTCGAACAAAGGGATGCGAGTGGGTCAGGAAACAGAATAGGGGGCATCTTCGCAAACGGGGGTGTATTACGGTGCTAGAAAGCAAGACGAAACATGAGTGTGACCCTTCCTGAAGGTGCTCGAAGTGATTGGGAAGGACGGCGACAGCGGTCTTCATGGCACAGCAATAGCGGAAGGTGAGGTTTTCCAACTCAACATGCTGTGCACTGGACTTCATGGTTCCAAAAGTGGTTAGAAAGTGCTTATTCCTCCATTCAATTGAGTGGTCGGAAACCAGGTTTCTACCTTGAGGCTTCGTACGGCACGATCGCAAACAAGAACGATACGATTTGAGAGAGATTGAAAGAATCAGGTTCGATACCAGAATCAACAATGAATGTATGTTTCAAACGGTCGAGCCGACAAAAGTAGCATCAAGCGCTCGCACATCTACGGTTCCAGTCAATTCACCTCTGCAAAAATGTCCAGGCTCCTTCTTAAATCGCGGCGAAGGAGGCGGCCGCAAGCGCTAGTAGCCTTAGCTGGGTGAAGTCTTGATCTAGTTGGTCAAGAAGCACGGTGAATCGGCGGGACGCATTCACTGAGACGAGATTTTTTATCTCTTATTATGGCGTCCGACAGTGTTGAAAGGTCGGAAAGACTTGGCCTCCGGCGGGATCGTTCTTGACTTTCAGCTTTGAGCAATTGCCAAAAGAATCAGCGGCGAATGCTTCTATTACGGCCAAAACTCCGAGCCGCCCTCGACGCCGTTTGGATTTTGAAGTGCTTCACGTCAAATGTAACCTGGTTTGACAAGAAAATTTCTCTGAAATTGTCGCCGAAGTCAACCTTTCGTTTCTGTGGAACAGAGCTTCTTCGGAGGCGCTTTGATGGACACTGCCATGCGACTCTCGAAAAACATTCATGCCCCGTCCTTTACGCAAAAGAGCTTTGGCGAATCCGATTCTGGAGAGCCTCCTCTTGGAAGTTCCGACCAGAGTCAGGCGAAGCAGCCCCACTGGAACCACTCAATTTCTTGTTCCGTAAGCTGATTTTTGAGTTGGGTGATCATCATGGTTAACAGCCACGACTTCGATCTTGATTCTTGTGCCGTGTCTAATAAGGAACGAGACTAGGAGAGGGATTTTGATAGAGGTCGGGCGGACTAAGCCGTTTTTGTGTCCGGGTCTTTTTGGTGCTTGTTAACTTGCACCGTTGATGAAGGTGAACCGGTCTTCTTGAAGGTATGGGAGTACAAGGCGATGTGCTTCTCTCCTGTGGGGAAAAATCCAAGGGAGACAAGTCGGACGAATACTACAAGCTCGCTCGCCAACGTGAATCTACTGGGGATCAGGCGCGGGCCGTTCAACACAACATTCTGGAGGCGGAACATGGAAACCCAAAAGCTGAACTGGAGCTGGGAATGCGGTACCTGGTTGGAATTGGGGTCGCGGTTGACTTCAAGTTGGCGTTCAAGTGGTTTGAGAGAGCTGCAACTCAGGGGGACGCTGGGGCGCAGTTCATGCTGGCTCGATGCTACGAGCTCGGCAATGGAACGAAGCTTGACGTTGCTACAGCTTCGCAATGGTATGCGAGGGCTGTGGACGGTTGGGGCCTCCGCGATCTAGGCCCATGGTTCTCGCTGAATCCCAAAGCTGGGCTCGCCAAGGCTCTGCAGCTCGACAGGTTTCGCCCCATGCTGGCGCAGAAAATATTCGGTTTGGCAGTCGTCTATCTGAATTCATGTTTCCTCGGGGCCAAGGCGA